AGGGCTCACCAAAGGAACAAAGGCCTCTTACAGCACGTTTGTCCCAGAGAAAGCCCCCTCTCCAGCCCTCGCTCCAGTGCCAAACAGCTCAGTTCTTCCCTGTATGTCTCTGGTGCCCCTCGAGCTGCCTCCGCTCCAAGCTTAGAGGGAGAGAGTCCGATAAGTCCGTGCGCGGGCCCTTTAAGGAGCTGCCGGGGGCTCCAGCCGCCTCAGCCTCCCTGAGCCTCAGTTCCCGCTGGTTTTTCCAGCCAGAAGTTATGGGGATTCTCTTCCTGGCACTGGAACCCTGAGCGGGGCACCTGGTGAGGGACGGGGACCCCTCAGTCCTCAGGAAGGACCTTCCCAGCCGCGGGAGCCTCCTGATTTTTATCTGCCACATGTGGGTGTGGGACCAGCCTGTCGCGCCACCGTCGTGCCGCCGCCGCCCCTCCTACCAGTCTGGATGCGGCTGCTGCTTTAATTCCGTAGTTGTAGGACTTCCATTCAGCTTGATTTCAGGCAGTTTTGAATGATGGTTGTTCTGTAGTTGTTACTTTGATGTGGTTGTGGGAGGACGCGATACCACGTTTACCTACCCGCCATCTTGACCGGAATTCTGAAGGGTCTTCTTGAAGAAAAAGATAAAAAAATATGAACAAACAAAATGGCAATAAATACATATCTATTGACAATTGAATCTACAAACAAATGAACAGGCAGAATAGAAACATTCTCATAGATACAGAGAACATTTTGTTGGTTGCCAGATGGGAGGGGGGTTGGTGAATAGGTGAAAAAGGTGAAGGGATTAAGAAGTACAAATTGGTTGCTAGACTGACAAACCTCAAAGGGAAGGGGGGTAGGGAGGTGGGAAGCAATAAACCAAAGAACTTATATGTATATATGCATAACCAATGGACACAGACAACAGTGTGGAGAAAGGCAGGAGAGGGGCAGGAGTGGGGAGGAGGGCAGCAATAGGGAAAAAAGGAACATCTGTAATATATTCAACAATAAAGATGTTAAAAAAAAACAAAACAAAAATAAAAGATGAACAAAAAAGCAAGGCCACTTCAGGAATGAGCTGTACAATGAAATCAGTGTTTGAGGAGCCTGACACGTTTGCAGAACTGCAGGGAGTTCAGTTATGGCTCTAGTGTCTTTGTTTGTATGAGAGCTGAAGGACATCACTCATGAAAGGCAGAAGCCAAATTTGAGAGACTTATATGCATGCAGGGATATGTGCTTCATCCTGTGGGGTTTCTGGGGGTGGGGTGGGGATTGGTGGGGGTGGAGGAGGGGATGGCCGGATTACTGTATTAAAAGGGAGTGACTGTGTCAGATTTTTATTTTACAAAGACTACTCTGGCAGTAGCATAGGTAGACTGAGAAATTGGCCCGGAGGAAGGGGGACCAGTTAGAATGATATTGCAGTAAATCCAGGGAGAACTGGATGTGGCAGTGAAGGTGTAAATGGGGAGAAGCGTCGAATGAAAAAGCTGTAGGATAGAAACTCTCAGGGACTGACTGGTAATGGAGGAGGAATGAGGAAACAAGGAGTCAAGTGTGATAGAGGGTGATCACGTGGGTGACCGGCTGGTGTGTGCTGCCATTCAGAAGCAACAACATGCAGAAGTGACAGCATTTGTGCAGAAACACTGTCGCATCCCATTGGGCAAGTTTACATGGAGAGTCTGTGGACTTGCCAGATGGAGCAGTCCCGTGGAACCCGAACTGGACTAGACATAGCAAGAGGTAAGACCAGGCCAGAGCCAAGAGCTGTCATTTCTTTTCCTTTTCAATAAACTTTTATTTTAGAATAGTTTTAGATTTACAGAAGAGTTGTAAAGATAGAACCAAGTTCCCATAGACTTAGCATTTTTTTATGTCCTGCTTCCTCTTCTCTGAGTTTGTGTCATACTGGAACGGGTGTCCTTATTTGTGTAGATAGTCCCGTACACATGCATGTGGTTCAAAAATCAAAGCAATATAAAAAGGCGCACAATAAAAATTCTACTCTCACCCTGCCCCCATCTGTACTGTTCCTTCCCACTCCCTTCAGATAACTATTTTTATTAGTCTCTTGTGCACTGATCCTTCCATTTAAAAAAAATGTAAATGCAAGTAAATAATAATAAAGTTATGTTCTGCTTAGCTACTAGGATACGTTCTGACAAAGGCTTTGTTAGGCGATTTCATCGCCCTGCGAGCATCAGCGTGCCCGCGCCCGGCCTGGGAGGTAGGGCCTGCGGGCGTGAGCAGTGTGGTGTGTGTGTGTGGTGCATCACCACAGCACGTGAGCAGTTGCTGTGCTGCCACATTCAGATGGCTGTGACGTCATTAGGTGGCAGGGAGTCTGCAGCTGGGTTGTCATCTTGTGGGACCATCATTGTATATACAGCCAAATGTTGCACATGACTGTATACATTGTATGTTCCCTCCCTTTCTTATACAAAATGTTCTGTAGCTTGCTTTTTTGCTGAACAACATGCTGGTAGAGATCAATATATCTGGAACCGCACTGTCCGAGAAGGTAGCTATGGGCCATATGTGGCTACTGAGCACTTGAAATATGGCTGGTGCAAAGAAAAGACAAAATTTTAAATTTCATTTCATTTAAATTTTGATTTTAAAATGGAAGCAGTATAAAATATATTCCCATTAAACTCAACTTTATTATTTTGGTTGGACTGCATTTCACCTTAAGCACGGAAAACACAGCATCTGAACTGAGATATGGTGTGAGTTTAAACTGCACTCAGCAGTTAGAGCACCAGCCTGTGGACCAGAGACCCGGGTTCAGTTCCTGCTAAGGGCACATACTCGATTGCAGTTTGTCCCTCCCCCCCCAACTTGGGATTGTGTAGGTGGCAACCATTCAATGTGTCTCTCTCATATTAATATTTCTCTCTCTCTTCTCTCCCTCCTGCTCTATCTGAATATAAATGCAAAAATGTCCTCGGGTGAGGATTTAAAAAAATTGAATGCACACCAAATTTCAAAGACTTAGCTTACATTCTCTTTTTTGTACTATTTTATTAATAATTTTTATATTGTTTACATGTTAAAATAATTGTTTGATACATTAAGTTAAATAAAATATTAAAATTTTATTAGTTTTTTTTAATGTGGTTCCTAGAAAATTTAAATTTACGTATGTGACTCAAATCATATTTCTATTGGACAGTGCTGATATAGTGCATCCTTTTTTTTTTTTTACAGCTTTATAGTATTCCATCATACAGAGTACCATACTTTATTTAACCAGTCCACTATTGATGCATGCTTAAGTTGTTTTTAGTCTCCTACCACTAAAAAATGCAAAAATGCTTAACCTTGTTCATGCATCACTTGATATTTGTAGAGGTTGATTTATGAAATGAATTCCCAGTATTGGGGTTGCTATGTTAAAGAGTAAAGGCATTTGAAGTTTTGATATTGCCAAATTACCGTCCTTAGGAGCCGACCATTTCCACTGCCACCAGCAATGTGTCTGAGTGCAAGTCCCCCATGTACTGCCGCTTTAAACAACATCTACATGGCTTTTGATATAATAATGAACAATTTCTCTTTGATAATTCCAAGAGAGTTCTAAGAAGAAATCACAAATGGTTTGCCTAACTTCATTTTGTATTAAAAAAGAGAGAGGGCCCTGGCCAGTTTGGCTCAGCGGTTAGAGCGTTGGCCTGCGGTCCTGAGAGACCCGGGTTCGGTTCCCGCTAGGGGCGCGTACCTCGGTTGCGGTTTGTCCCCAGCCCTGGTCGGTTGTGCGGGTGGCAACCACTTGATGTGTCCCTTTCACATCGATGTTTCTCTCTCTCTCTCTGTTCCTCTCTCTCCCTCCCACTCTACCTGAACAAAAAATGAAAAAAAAATGTCCTCGGGTGAGGATAAAAAAAAAAAAAAAGAGAGAGAGAGAGGGAGGGGGAGGGAAGGAAGGAAGGAAGGAAAGAAGGAAGGAAGGAAGCCAACTATTGATGATGAAACTCATAGAATCAATATTTTAGAATTGACTCTTTTTTTCTACTGAAAATGTCAAGGAATTAACCTACTCTGTTTTCCTGGGCTGTAAATTTCTATGAAAGTTTTATCATATTTAGATTTAAGAATAGAGATTTTATCAGGGTTCCAATGGATAAAATAAAGGTCAACATTTTCTTTTGTTTTTCCAAGATTTAGATATTTCTTGAGTTCCCTGCTGGTGGGGGCTGCGATGTTACCAGGTCGAAAGGCAGGGTGTGCGCAGCGGTACAAGCCGCCAGTTCACCAGTTTCCTGGACTCCTTTGACTACATGCTAACCACATTCTGACTGAACGGGCAGCCTAACTGAGAAAATCCACTGACAACATAATTGGAGCTCATGAGCTGCCATAATCATTAGACAGCCAGTTCTATTTACTTCATCAATAAGCTGCGGAAAAAGTTCATCTTTCCACAGTTAGGATCCAACTGTTGTCCCTCTTTTGAGACTTAATGTGCCCTCCTTGCCTTTTTTGTCTGTTTTTCAGATTGAAATAAAGAACTAAGCATTAAGCATCTAAAGACAAATTACTTCAAACTTTACATTTATAGGAATCTGAAAATAAGATTCTTATGAGGAGAAATCTCACTATGTAGTTAGGATGTGTCAGATAAGTTAATAAATTAGTATAATGGAAGTCCTTGGCTTTTAGGAATGTAAACTCTTATTTTGGCAAATCCTAGAGGAACATAAGAGTATTTTATAGCAAATATGACTATAGATATTTACTGTCTTTAATAGTTTATTGAACTATTAAAACGTAATCTTTCTTGAAAAGATTAAGAAAAGGAATAAAAGGTGAGACTATTCATGTTGATCATTCAGGAAGAGCACTGGGACCCAGGGACTTATTTATTGGAAGGGTCTTCCTGGCAGTTGGTGACATTGAATCATCTGTGTGTGTACATTACAGAATAAATAACAGCTTTCTGCACTACAGCTACTCTTCACCTCTCTTTTTTCTTTTATTGCTAATTTTGCTTAATCGTTTTGTTTCAGGAAGGGTTTTCTCTCATTGGTAGCAAGAACTGGTTGAAGATTGTGAAACGCATGGATTGTCTATTGTTTGGAACAACGATAAAGGCAAGTTGCTGTGTGGCCCACTGTTTTTAAGCAAATTACCCTACCTTTCTCGTCTTCTATGTGCACATGGCTTGGGGGTATGAGAGCTTCTCTTTACAGGTGAGATGGTACTGGAGTAATACATGTTTAAGAAAGGTTTGCATCATGAGTAGAACATGAAATAAGGACTATTGAAAGGCAGAATCCTAGTTAGTAAGAGGGTGATGCTGAGGACCGAGGCTTTGATGGATCCGAGGGAGCTGGGCAGCTGCTCTCCATCTCCCAAGCACAGATTGAGAGGTAGTGGACTGCCTCACTGTTTGTCTTGCTAGGTGTTTCAAAGTCATGCTCTTTGAGTGCTTCACTGAATGTCTCTTTTCATTTTTCCCCCTCTTTAATATTAAAAATTAAATTCCTTTTTTATTTGTTTTCTACCTCTATTAAACATAAAGAATGATCCTCACCAAAGAAACATGTGGACAGATCCCCTGGATTGCTTTCTCTCAGAAATAACAACAACAAAAAAACAATCTGTTAACATTCACTGAATAGATAACTAATTTCTAACAGGCTCATAAACTGAAAAGTCAGAAGAAGTCTTCAAGAGCATCTAATAGAAAGGACTTAACCTGAGGTCCACAGACCCTCCAAAGGGTCCTCAAAGAATTCCGGGGTCCAGGAACTACATGAATTTTCACTGACATCTAATTGAAATTTATTTCTTCCTTCAATTACAAATGTGGGAATCAGCCCACAGTCATATTAGACTTTTGCACCAGTACAAACCACAGATATTTTATATATCTTATTACAGTTATTTCAGATATCTGACATGTCATTTATGCTTATCATTACCTCAGGATTATGGTGGTTACTAGTCTTACTGCTAGATCTTATTGTGCATGTTAATAAGGAAGCATATATACTATTGATTCACAAATTGGTATTTTAATATTGTAATATACAATTTCAGTATAATTGGCTACCTTTGTAATCTTATGTATTTTGTGTGATTAAAAACATTGTTCCAAGAAGGGGCCCACTGACTTCACCAGATTGCCAAAGCAGTCTGGAGCTCATACGCAAAAAATTCATGAACCTGTTTTCCTTTTTACACATGAGGAAACGGAATTCAACTTTAGCCAACAGCCAAGATTATAACTATCAGAGAACTAGGCCACCCACTGGTCTTATGACTGTGTCATGCTGAATGAATGTATATGTTTTTTTTAAAGTTACAGCATGTCTGATCATTTGAATTTGAATTTTTTTCCTATTATACATTATCGTGTAAATCTTTAACTCTAAAGAGCAAAATAAAAACCAACCATAATTTGACCACACAAAAATAATCATTATATTACAGACAACTGAAAGCTGGTTATTGGGGGGAGGAGGGATTGGAGGAGAATAAAGGGGGTCAAATATATAGTGACAGAAGGAGACAGAACTTCAGCTGGTGAGCACACATTAGAGTATACCAATGTTGTATTATAAAAATGTACACATGAAACTTATATAATGTTACTAACCAATATCACCCAAATAAATTCAATTTAAAAATAATCATTGTTAACATTTTGAAGCTTTTACTAGGCATGTATATTATATCAGCATTCAGATGCATGTGACAGAAAATCCAGGTACAACAGCCTCCAAAATGGGGATTCCCCCACCCCACCCCCACTAAATAAGAGATCCAGAAACAGGCAGTGCTAGCTAGCATTGGCCCAGCAACATCACTGCCAAGGTCAACATTTTTGCAGTCCCTTGGCCTCTCCTCACGTCTGCAGATGGTTGCTACAGCTCTATTTTATTTACATTAGAGGAAGACCAGCTTTAGCTGTTCATTCTACAAGGAATGCATAGCTCTCTAACTCCCACAGCCTCTGGAAGATGTCTACTTGTCTCATGGACCAGCAAGAACAGTGTAACATGCCACCCCAACATGCCAAGTTTAGCAAAATGAGTGTTTGACTTTTCCAGCCTATGCTGTGGATTGGCTCATGGCAATGAACAGTGCCTGCCATGTAGATAATTTATAAATTTGAGATTATAGTATATAGAGTGCTTTGTATCCTGTTCTCTTGTCATGTAACACTGTATCAGAAAGATTATGCTAAATCATTTCTTAGTCTTTGAAAACATGATTATTCATGGCTATGTAGCATTTTATTGTTTGGACGGCTCATGATTCAATTGACTAATTCCCAACTTTTTGCTGTTATAAATATATTTTGATTTTCATAAGAATTTATTTACAATGTTCTTAAGATAGAAGTCCTAGAAATTTGAACATTTATTTAGTAAACTTTTCCTCCAGATAGGTTGTCCATTTCTACAGTGTTAGCAATGTGTAAGAATGTTCATTTATCCAAATCCTTTCCAGTAGGGTAATACAATTTAAATTTCAAAATTTGTTTCCAATTTGATAGGCTAAAATGAGCATCTTCCTTTAATTTGCATTTCTTTGGTAACTAATGAGAATAAACATTTTTTTTGTGTTTGTTAGCCATCGTATCTCTTCTGTGAATCACCTGTCTACTGATTTGCCTAGTTTGCCTCTTCAGAGTATTTAGATACTGTCTGTAAAGTGATTACATGTTGTAGACAGGTACAGATTACATGTTATATGGAAATAAATATTTATGTAATTTGTGTAGCTAAATAATTTTATATATAATACTTATGCATATATAATATATAGATTCTAAAATATTTAAGGTTAGGAACCTTTGCCTTTTATAATTTGAGTGGTACTCTTTATCCCAAAGATATTTCTAGCTGCTTATTATTGGATTTTTTCTGTGTTATTTCAATTTAGCTTCCTTACTAAACTTTTATTAACTCTGATAATTTGTTAATTTATTAATTTTTAGGAAAGTAGTTTTATAATCTGCAAACAATGATAATTTATTTATTTCTACTAGTTTATACTTATTACTTTTCTCACCTTACTGAATTATTTAAACCTTCCAGAACACTGTAGTTATATGGTTATAGTGCTACCCTTGACACCTCGCTGACCTAAATGGGCTGACGTATTTAGACATTAAGAACATTTCAGCCCTGCTGGTGTGGTTCAGTGGTTAAGCACTGACCCATGCACCAAGAGGTCGCCGGTTCAATTCCTGGTCAGGGCACATGCCCAGGTTGTGGGCCTAATCCCCAGTGGGGGGCTTGCAGGAGGCGGCCAATCAATGTTCTCTGTTATCCGTGTTTTCTCCTTCTCCCTTCCTGTCTCTCTAAAAATCAAAAGGAAGAAAAAAAAAGTTAAAAAAAAAGAACAATTCAGATGCATGTGACAGAAAATCCAGGTATAATGGCCTCCAAAATAGGGGTTGATTGTATATTCCTTACCATGTAAGGGAGATATTATTTCAGTTATAGTTTATTTACTAATATTTTAATCAGGATTACATATTAAATTTTATCAAAAGCTTTTGACACCTATCAAGATAAAGTATTTTTTCTTTGATTTATTGACTTTATTAATATTGAACCAACAGATTCTTCTTTTTGCCTTACCTGGCAAAGTGTATCTTAGGCATTTCTTGCCTTGGATATCTTCAGTTAACCAGGTTTTGTTTTTTGTTTTTTTGGTGGTACATGCCCCTAGCGGGAATCGAACCCGGGACTCTCTGGTCCGCAGGCCAACGCTCAACTGCTGAGCCAAACTGGCCAGGGCAGTTAACCAGGTTTTATGTGACAAACGCCATTGTTTAAATTGACAAATGGAAGAAGTATTTTGAAATAAAATTTTCATTCCTTTAATAGCAATTTCATATAACTTAAATCCTGTAGTAATAAAGATTATTTTCTCTCTGGCTGAAATAAGTAGATTGTATAAATTCTGCCTACTTGTACTTCCTTTTGTCCAGGAATTCTGATCAAAATGGTCCTGGCAGATTGGCTAACAGTTGACACATAAATCCCTTTCCTAAGGGACTTTGTTTCAAAGGAGTAAACCCAAACCATTGTCCTCTTGGCTTTTCACCCCAATAACTCACTGAAGAATTTTTTTCATGATTTTGTCTGGCCTAGGCTTTGGTTTCAAAGCAAAGGATCAAAGAAAATGCTGAAGTCCCTTCTCTGGTTAAGTCCTTTCTCTATCCCCTCCCCCTTCCATTTCCTGCAATAGAGGAAGTCACTGCTCAAGTGAGGGAAACTGCTCCATTTGGGGTCCTGGTGGTGATGGAAAACCTCTTACAGGTCTGAGTGATTCATCTAAAACCAGCAAAGAGAGTCAGTGGGGTTGTGAGGTCTCTGATATCTCCTTGGTGCTCCTGTGTGGTGCCATCTGGGCCCTGGCCTTCCATGTGTGCTGAGATCATGGAGTGTCAGCTATAGAGCCTGAGCTTCATGGTCTCCATGTGGGGGCGCCTTCATACTCATGAGTCAGGATTTTGGGGACACCTGACTTTCTTGTGAGTACACAAAGATCTTGTAAATAGACAAGCAGTTATCTTTAACTTGTTTCCTCAAGGAGTCTGTGTAAAAGGGGATTTTTCTATTAGTTCTAATAACTTGAAATTAAGTGTTTTGAAATAGGGTGGGAACAATTTAACATGTAAGGTACCACTTCACATATAGTAATTTTGAGTTAATCTCCTTAGAGGATAGAAACTGAGACTCTGTTTGGTGCTTCATGGCTGTTAGTATATACTTGACAACTTTCCAGTTCACAGCAAGTGAATTAAAATGTCTTTTTGACTTCTCACTATGGCATAAAAATAAATCTCGTCAATATTTTCAATCTAGGAATCCTTTTTGTTAACCCAGTGATGATTTTCCATTGTGCTACCCCACAGTATTAACGATACGAATGGATATGTTACTCATTTTCAGATTTTTCCTGATGTACCTTGGGTCCTTATGCATTGGCTGCAGGTGGTAGGCTCAACTTCTACCTGAGACTGTTACAGAAGAAAACATAGAGCGAGGGTCAGTCAGGCTGTCAGACACACAGACTCCCGTCTTTTCCTGGAACTACATTCCAGAAAGACCCTAACTGTCCAAACTCATTCTTATGTACACTCACAGGTAGACACCACTAGACTCACACAGTTCGTCTGAGATTTTTGTCCTGTTTATACACTTAATAACTTTCTTACATGTTTTTCATCTATCTATGAGGTATAATTTTTAATGTTCTTACTTCTCAAAAAGTTATGTAATTACAGGATCACAACAGAAATGGCTAATATAAAGATACTTCATATAGAGGCTAAACCAGGGTGAGTTGGAAACAACTAATTAATTATAAAAAAGAAATCAGCTCAATTTCACAAAAGATGTGTATTATTACCAAAAATAGAATGTGTAGTTCTCTTATCAGTTCTTTTCCCTTCCTTGGGGTTAGTTAGTTTTCAGCACTCTTGATAATCTGGGAATTGTTCATCCAAGAGAGAAGTGACCAAGGGCGCTGGAGGACAGGGCTGCAGACTCCCCTGGCGGCTCAAGGGACAAAAATCTATGCTGACCCAATGGGCTGGAAAAGGAAAGGATACTCATCTGGGGTGGGGCGCGCAGGGGTGGGCAAGGACTCTCAGGCGGTAACTGGCACTGTCCTGCCCCAGGCAGTTTGGCACAAGGCACTCAGATACACAGACCCTTTCACCAGGTGTTATGTACAAAGACGAGAGTGTAAGAGTACTTATCAAAGCCTGTGGTTTATACTGGGGAAAAAAGGCTGGAAATAACTTAAATGTTTTCATTAGGAGTCAAAGCAATATTCTTTAGCCATTAAAAGTAATGAATTATACTTCTATTTTTATACTTACTGTTAAATAAAAAATTAGGTTACAAAATACTGTAAAATGTATGTTACATATATATGTAGTATATATAATACATGGTATAGATATTTATGTATGAACGTGTGTGTATTTCTAATATAGTATACCCTAATGTAACCTAGGTGCTGCTTTAGCCACACCCCCTCCTCTCCAAGCACAGGGAAACTCACTAGAAGACCCTGCGGTAAATAAAAGTAAAGTAATATGACAAGCGTCACTCAGAATATATTAGAAGATTTCCTCTTCATATTTTTTCATTGTTGGGGTAGGGGGTAATGGTAACAGATTACTTTTATACTTAGGGGAAAAAATTAAATGAATTAAAAAATGAAGATTGCTCTAGACACACACTTAGACTACAGAACTAGAAGCTGAGTTTCCTCACTTCGGCTGCCATTCCATTGGAAATACTTCACACCAGATGCTGACTGGATTAGATTAGAGTTCACTTAAGTAAAACAAATACATTAAGCCTTTATCCCCAGTGCTTAAATCAGCATTTCTCAACCTGGGGCACAGGTCATCTTTGTCACATAATTACTTGGGCAGTCTGTTAGTTTGCTCGACACACCTTCTCCAAGCCCCATCCCAGACTTACTGCCTCCAAATCTGTAGACACAGAGATTGGGTGTGTGCATTTTAAACAAACTTATTTTGCACAAGAGTTTAAGACCAGTTAGTAAGTGCTGGGCTGAAGTCTGATTCCACAATTCTAACCCCTGGGGAATGAATTCAACTGCCCGTTTCGAAGGGTCCGTGACAATGAGAGGACTGATGGATGAGGAGGGCTGATGGATGCAAGCTCGTCATACTAAATAAGCAAATCAGGTGATTGTTCCACTTCTTTTACCTCAGGGCCGCTTTCAGGTATCTGTGGGCCCTTTTAATAGGATTTTGTTGATAAAATGTGATTCATGTTTGAAGAACCCACAGAAGGCATCATTTAAGGTGTCCCTTGCTCACACTGCCACTGTCCACTCTCTCTGCCTCTTACACTGCCACAGGCTGTGACCTCTGCAATTACCTTCCTCCTCTGAAAAAAATGAAGAGAACCCAACAATGGCAGCAAAGGGGCAGCAGTGTCTATTCTACAAATGACACCTGACCATGGCTCAGCCACGCCAGAGTTTTCTGTAACCTAATACAGGGCTTTGTATGACAGCTTCTTCTAAACATTTATTTTTTTTTTTTTTTTTTTTTTTTTTTTTTTTTGTACAGATAGAGTGGAAGGGAGAGAGAGGAAGGGAGAGAGAGAGAGAAACATCGACGTGAAGGGACACATCGAGTGGCTGCCACCCGCACGACCAACCAGGGCCGGGGACAAACTGCAACCGAAGTACGTGCCCTTAGCGGGAACCGAACCCGGGTCTCTCCGGACCGCAGGCCGACGCTCTAACCGCTGAGCCAAAATAGTAGAAATTGTGAAGAGGAGAATCAACGAGTTTTTGCTTATAGGAACTTACAGAATTTGGCTAACTATAACTAGATGACTTTTCCAGTAAGCAGTGTGACTTATGAATTTCATGAATGGAAAGTCACTATGCTAAGTTGGCATCTGAATTTCTTTCCAGAAGAACCTGAATAAAGGCACACAGTACATACAGTCCCATTCGGGCGGCTTCAGTGCACGTCAACTTCTCTGCACGAGGCAGAATGTTAGACTAGAAAAGAGAAAACAATCTCTTTCAAAATAATGGGTTTAGCCCTGGCCAGTTTGGCTCAGCGGTTAGAGCGTCGGCCTGCGTTCCGGAGAGACCCGGGTTCGGTTCCCGCTAAGGGCACGTACTTCGGTTGCAGTTTGTCCCCGGCCCTGGTTGGTCGTGCGGGTGGCAGCCACTCGATGTGTCCCTTCACGTCGATGTTTCTGTCTCTCTCTCCTTCCTCTCTCTCCCTCCCACTCTATCTGTACAAAAAATGGAAAAATATCCTCGAGTGAGGATAAAAAAAAAAAAAAAAAGCAAAATAATGGGTTTATAATTGTTGTTATAATTTAGCTTTTTTAATTCATAATGAAATAAAGTTGATGTAGTGGTCAGATTTTAAATTTTTTAATTGCATCTTTCCCAAATTTGCTGATTTGCCAAGGGATGTAATTCATACAGCAAATTAAAGGCAACATGTGATGCAGTGTGGTTTGTGTAGTAGGTGGCCTCTAACGATAAAGGACACTACAGATTATTAACATGATGTACATTAGCTTTTAGCATCAGCCTGTCTGTCCTGTTCCCCAGTCTTGTTTTTCAAATTCACTGGTTTGTTTAATGTGGCATCTACCTGGTTTGCTCTTTTATATACTCAGGTTTAAAAAAAAAGTTGAGGCAGCAATATGCTGTATTATCCTGACTGATTTTTTTTACTTAAGGAATTAAAAGCTATGTAATCTTTATTCAAAGGTAAAACAAAATACTGGTCTTCTCCTGCAGTGAGTGTGGTCACCTTCCTGCTCTGTATGATATGGGTTTTTCCATTTTTATTAATATCTGTTCCCTGAAGGAAATGAATTTTAGTATGAGAACAGCTCCCAAAAGTGGAAAGAAAACTGATTAGCTTTTCTATACCCACATCAACAATCTAAGGTACACACTCCTTTATCTGTACCTCCTCCCCTCCAAGCACAGGTAAGCACACACTAGAAGACCCTGCAGTAAATAAATGTAAAGTGATATCACAAGTGTCACTTAGAATAACTTTCGATTTGTCGAACAGAACAAGAGTCGCATGTTCCGGGTACAGTTCAGTGGAGAGTCCAAGCAGCAGGCGCTGGAGCGCTGTGGCAGCTGTGTGCAGAGGCTGGCCCAGTACGTAACCGTGCAGGTGCGCGACGACGGGACCGGCCAGGATCCTGGCCCCCTGCAGGCAGGTGAAAGCTGAGGGCAGGGCTGTGCGCGGAGCATCCTGTCGCAGTGCGGTGTGAGTAGGCCATTGTGGTGGTTGTACAAGAGCCAGTGTGGTTCAGTGGTTGAGCATCAATCCATACACCAGGAGGTTGTCAGTTCGATCCCCAGTGTGGGGTATGCAGGAGGCGGCCAATCCATGTTCTCTCTCATCAATGTATCTCTCTCTCCTTCTCCCTTCCTCTCTCTGTAAAGTCAATAAAGAAAAAAAAAGTTTAAAAAAATATATATAAAAAAAGAAACCTGACAAAGTAACACTCTCTGGGGACCAGAATGACAGTGCAATTGGTTAAGTCCACCAGGTTTGCAGGTTAAAAAATATCTAAAGTTGAGTGACTTATTTAAATTGAAGGTTGACTTTCATTTTAGCTATCTGTAATCCTAGCAATTAGACTGGGAGGGAGTCCCAGATGCATTCTGGGTCACTCTGGAACACTGGTAATCAAAGTGTGATCCACAGACCCCTCCCTGAGACCTTTTCAGGGATCCAGAAAGTCCGTGTTATTTTGTATTAATATTAAGACATTATTTGCCCTTTCCACTTTGTTGATATTTGTGTTAATGGGACGAAGGTATTGTGAGCAAAACTGTTGTCACCTTAGCACAAATCCAGACAGTGGTACCACCTGCACCACTGTCTCTCGTCACTGGTGGCAAGCACACACAGACAGGTGCATCCGAAAGCACGGTGCTACTTCAAGGGACAGCACTCGTGTGACTGTGCTGGGAGCAAACTAGCCTTTCTCTGGGGAATACCGCATTAATGGGAATTTGATGGACATTTTCTCAAAAATGAATAGAGTGAGCCTATCATTTAGGAAAACAACTGATAGTGTTTATCAACATGATAAAATAAGCTTCTCAGGTGAAAATTTGAGTCCTGGATAACTTGTATTAGCCATTTGAGTTCCACAGCTCCTAACCCAGAAGACTTCTGTTGCTGCTATTAATGGGATTTCTTTTTATAACTGCATGACAAAATGTTTCAACATTTGGAAGCTGTGTGTAGTTTAGTGAACCAATATTTTCCAAATGGCCAAATATATATGGTGCTAGAAAATCATGTTTTCAAAGTGCAGCATAGACCAATGGATTTAATATAAGAGTTCATTGCTGTGATTTCAGATTCTGTGTTGCAACTAACCAACCTTTAAGAAACTATCATTTGTTGAGTTTTGGTGTCATATTAAAGAATGTCCACAATTATCTGAAAAGCCTATTTTAAAATATGTCTGCCTTTTCCATCTATGTATCTGTGTGGAGCCAGATTTTCTTCATGTACCTCGGCCAAAGAAACATGTCAGCAGACTGAGTGCAGAAGCAGATAGGTCCAGCTGTCTTCCACTGAGCTAGATGTTCAAGAGGCTTCCAAAAGTCATTACCAAAAAAAACCTTTGTTTTAGGAAATAGTTTTTTCATTAAAATGTTTTAAATATTAACATTGTGTTCATTACTTTTAAATGAATTGGTATTTAAAATTGTCTTAATTGCTGACATAAACATTAGATAGATGTAACTCAAAAGCTGTTCAAGAGCCTCTGATTTTAAGTGTGTCAAGGGGCTTGTGATCAAAAGTGTGAGAATCATTACAGAATTTTCTTCTGGGAGCACACAGTCCCAAAGGCAGCTGGAATAAAATCTACCTCTGCTCTCAGGATGAAATTCCAGTTTCGAGCTGGAATTTTCTACTTTGAGAAATGATTTTGCAAACACGGCTTTCCGTAAACTCACTGGACTAAGACAATTCATTTCTGCTGGTATCACCAAGTCCTTTTGTCATTCATAATTGATCTAGGGTAAATATAAATTTACATTATTTGTTGTAGTCTTTTCTTTAAGTACATGTTGTGTGGTTTCCTCTCGAATGTGTAGTTTGCTAAGTCAGACTCTGGTGTTTCGGACTTTCCCTTCCTGTTCCATGTGGCCTCTTCTGTGACGTCAGTGCCGCACTGCTTTTCTCAAAACCCTGGACCGTGTTCCCAACTTCATGCCTCATCAGCTCCTGCTGTTCTTTAGGAACCCCTCCCTACAAGTGGGATGAGTGATTGGTTATAAGGTACTTTATTCCTTATGATCCCCTGCCCTTTAAATAGATTTCCTTTTGCTGTGCTTCAGTGACCAGTCATTATATTCAGATCATATACCCAATGCATAGGATACAAGCAGGACCAAACAGGGTTCCAGAATTTGGGAAGGTGTGGAATCCTTGTACATGTAATGAAGACAAATCAGGCTACACAATTATCTAAATATAAAGTGTAACTGTGACGTGCAGTGACAGATCCAGGCTGGGCCGTGGGCCCAGCAGCAGGTGAAGGCTCCAGGGCTCGCATTTCAAAGGCTGGTCCAAAAGTCTAGGTAGAAACATCCCCAAAGTGGCTGGAACCATTTCATGTCTTTTCTCAATTCTCTGTTCCGGGCCATCTGAGCTGTAGTTTGGTGTTCTGAATAGATGATAGACTTCAATGTTGTGCAAAGATTATAGGTTTTGAAATAAAAATGAATCTAGGTTTGAATCATGGCCTGATTAGTTGCTGCATGATCTGCTCTCATGCAAGTCACTGAACCTCATCTGTAAAATGAGATTTGAAATGCTATCTATGCAAAGTACCTATGCAAATGTAATGTGTGGCCAGTATGTAAATAACATTATATATCATTACTATTATTGCCAGTACTGTTCCCTTTCAGATCTGCCTTCCTCTGTAAATGAACACATTAGCATCTGGGTCAGAACTTGAATCAACAGGGTCACGATAAGATAGTGTCAGCGGCAGAGAAGACAGCAGAGAGCCGAGGGTTGCTTCCGAGTGCAGGCCTTCTGAAGGCTGACCCTGGTCATCCTGATGACAAACCAGTCCTCGGTTTGCCCTTGGTGACCGCTGCGCAGATTCTCAGAAACCATCTCCTGAGGGAAAATCTGTGGCCAAGTTCTAGTCCCCTTGCTGCTCTCCTGCACTCAGGTGTGCCATTTCCCCAAAACCATTGATTTCTCTAAAACAGTTTTTTTTTTTTTTTTCCCAGAGATAATTCCTTATCTATTTCAAGTTCCTGAGTCATTTCCTGGGTATTTTATATTTACTTTTAATTAGCCTTGTAATTTTGCTAATTGTGGCTTAACCAGGTGTTTCTCAACCTGAGGGCTTCTAAGGCAACCCAGCCCACCCAAGAGGGAGGCAGGGAAAAGGACGGCAGTCTCCAAGGGAACTGCTTTCCATTCGCGGCCAGGAGGCTCCAGCTACTATGTGCACAGAACCTTCCATCTCTGCACTGTCTAACCCGCAGCCATTCCACTAGACTCAGGTACTTCAGTCGCCCTTGGCTATTCAGTGTTTGTGGCATATGGCTTTTGACTGCTATCTTTCCTAGTTGTTTGAGAACATGGTATGAGCTGAATTCCTATGTATCCCAGGAAAACATAAAATATCAGAGCTAAAGAAACACTAGACACTAGAGCCTGACTTTTGTATTTGCAAATGAAGAAGAGAAAAGGGGCTTGCCTAAGGATGCGTCATTCACTGAGTCCCTTTCCCTTTTGTTCACTTTCTTTTGTGTGATCCTGACTAGCTGTTTGTTCTTTCTTTGCTCTGTTCCCCTACTGTTTTTGATGCTTCCAGACCTACTTTTCTGCTAACACCTGCTGACTAGCAATAGTCAGCTTCCATAGGCCAGGACACAAAACTTGGCACCTCCGACTCCTGGCAGCAAGAACATGCCGGAGAAGCAGAGGTACCTTCCAGAGCGGTCTAGAGGTTTCTCCCTATGACACCACCAGTTCACACCTGAGGTGGGAACACCTGTCTGGAGATAAGCAGTGCAACAGCCACAGGATCCAGACAGAGCCAGACCTGCAGCCCTGTGGCCAGGGAGCCAGAGTGGTGGGGCTCCCATGAGTTCTAGTGCTATTAGGTGGAAGCAGCCTTCACAGCCTTTTACGCCTCCAGCCTCCTTCATCTGGTTCGTGGTGTCTGCCTGGAACACATCCCCCGTGTGCTGCCTGAGAACCCCTCACATCAAGGCCTCCGTAGAAATGGACACATTCTGGAGCACACCCCTTCCAGTTCACTCCTTCCACTTTAAGCCTGAAGTCCTACGCTTGCCTGGTTTGCCTCAGGCCCCAGCAGTTCCTGGGTTGCATTCTAATCAGTTTTATGTTAGGTTCTCACTGGGCTGTGGGCTCTTCAGGGCTGGACCTCTACTTTGTTCTTTGTGGCTCCCTTCCCTTTATTATGTGTCTAAGAAGCCATTTCTTCAGAATGTCTAAAATGAGATTTTTAAAAGCCCAGTTATAGCCCAGCCATTGTGGCTCAGTGGTTGAGCATGGACCCATGCACCAAGAGGTCGCCAGTTTGATTCTTGGTCAGGGCACATGCCCAGGTTGTGGGCCTGATCCCTAGTGGAGGGCGTGCAGGAGGCAGCCAATCCATGTTCTCTCTCATTGATGTTTCTCTCTCTCCCCCTCTCCCTTCCTCTCTCTCTCAAGTCAATAAAGAAAAAAGTAAAAAATAAAAGCCCAGTTATATTTATATATACATATATATTTTAAACCATAGTTATCTTGCAATTACAGGGTTTTTTATTGCTTTGCTTTTCTGCAATGAATATGTATTACTTGAGTAATAATTTTTAGGTGACAATCTGGATAATCAGAGGCTGGGCAACACTGACTGCCCTCCAGTACCAGCCTGTGGCCCTGGGTCCCGAACTAGGCTTCTGCAAACAGAACACAGCACTGTCAGACAGAGAAGCAGTAACAGCCTGTCAGACACTGAGGAACCCAAGGTGCAGGGCAGGAGCCTCAGACCAAGTCTGTGCATACCTCTGCTACAGTAATCAAGTCACAACCCAGCTGAAAACAGGACAGACTACACCAACAGTGATTTTTCCTGATATTTTTTCTTGGATCATGAATGCATGTGTTTCCACTTCTTTAATATCCTGTGGTGTTTATGATTGTGTCCAGCTAAACTGCCAGTTGTCTCATTCCAGTCACACCAGAAGCTGGAGCAGCAGCAGTACATATCAGCCATCACAATCACCCCAGGAGGAAGGACCTCCGTGACCCGGCTAGCTCAGGTAGAACCCATTTCCATGTTCAGTTGTCTTGTCATAAAAAACAGTGATCCTGAAAATTTGTATCCCTCTGTTCACTCCCTTTCTGTACAATAGTAACCTGAAGTGTTACTACAGAAGAGGGTAGAGCCCTGGCTGGTTTGGCTCAGCGGTTAGAGCATCAGCCTACAGACCACTGAGTCACAGGTTCAATTCTGGTCAAGGGCACGTACCTTGGTTGCAGTTCATCCCCGGCCCTGGTCAGGTCATGCGAGAGGCAGCCAGTCGATGTGGCTCTATCACATTGATGTTTCGTTCTGTCTGATGATAAAGAGAAAAGTATCCTCAGGTGAGGAATAAAAAAAAGAAGAGGGTAGACAAAGCCAGGCCAGTTCCACCTGTCTACCCTGTTGAGAGATTAGGAGGATGGTGCACACCACTTGTCTAAGGAAACAGAAGGGTGGCCTATAGTGTTAGCCTTTGAATCTGTGATAAAGAATTTAACACTTTCCAAAAAAGAGGAATAAAGGGAAGAATTTGGGGAACAAATATCAGTATAAATGTGGAGTCAGAGATCGTTGATGGTTTCTATATGGGCAGATTTTCTGTGCTAAGATCTCAACTTGGATGTGTGGAAGGAAGATTCAACTGTCCCCACACACTTCCCCTCTCCCTTTGTAGTTCAGTTACCAGAAAGTCCTGAACCTGTTCCTTGGGGCTCATTGCCTGCTGTCTGCTTTGCTGGGAGCTCCCCGAGGGCGGTCTGCTCCCTGGGCAGCGCTCCACAGCGGGCTCTGGGCCAACAGCCTACACTCCTCAGAATTCTACATGGAATCTGTCAATATTCAAGGATGAATTCTCTTTTTAACGTATCAAACTGTTCTAAAAGTGGTATAAAAAGAAGAAAATATGGGTGTTTTTTTCCACCTGGCTTACCAATTCAAAATAAATGGACAATCACAGAATAAAATATTTTAGCAGTTTCTTTGAATAACTCAGCAACTATGACAGGAAAATGTAAAAGCCTCCTTGTCCAGCAGCAGGGCAGACTTCATAGTGTCCAGTTTGTAGTCTCAAGCTTGCACTGAGGTTAAAGGTTAATTTAATCAAAGTGGCTGATGACAGTACAGACACAAAAAAATATGGAACAAGGCAAGGTGTGATGTCCTTATTCAGGAAACGTCAGCTGCTGTAAAAGGTGTAACCTTGTCCCAGTTTATTTACATAGTAGAGAAGAACCATATACAAACCAGAAAAAGCACCAGAGTGGGAGTTCAGATATGCTACTTGTTTGCTCTAACCTTCTAGACAAGTCTTTCTAAGAATGTAAGTTAGTAAAACTTTTTGAAAAGCAATTTAGCAATACAGATCAAATTCAATGTCCTTTCTATTACTTATAATTCTATTTCTCCTACACAAACATACATGTAGGATGCTGTTCCAACATTTATGCTGGAAACAACATGAATATCCACTAATAGGATACTGAGTGGTTCAAGTGTGAAATAACCATGGATGAGACAAAAATACAGTCAATAGAAGTGACGTAGATCCCTATCTACTGACACGGAAAGATGTCCATAGCACAATTTTTTAAAAGACTACAAAAGCATCATGTATAGCTTGACTTTTGTGATAAATACATACACACAAAATATGTTTGGAAGATAAACTAACATGCTAACAGTGGGTCTCAATGGAGAACAGGGCTCCACATTACTTTCCTTTTTCTTCTTTCTACTATTAGGCAGAATCTGAAAAGCTAGTTTCAATTTAGAAAAGTACATTTCTCTTATAGATAGTTCCTAGAGAAGTGTCAGTTGATGCATACACACCAAACCTTCCCATCCATAGAAAAGGTATAAAATCACCTGCTTAACATAATTCATTTGAGAATTAAATGAGATGTAGATGGACTACAGAGCTGGAGCCCATCGTCATGATGTCAGTGTGACCGTAACTTCTAAATTGCCAAGCACAGTCAGACTTTTATTTGAACTCTCCTAATTTAAATATTGACAACTTATTCAACTGGTTTTAAAACACTGTAAGTTACTAAAGAAGACATACAGATGGAAAATAAGCATGTGGAAAAAATGCTCAATGTATAATACTTCATTTATTGGACAAAGGCAAAACTGTAAGGTATGGAGAATGCTGATCAGTGGTTGCTGGGATGTGGGCAGATGGACATGTTCTGTGTCTTGATTGCATTCATGGTTATGTGCCTTTCTGTATTTGTCAAAGCTTATGGACAAGACCAGAAAAAGACATGGGTCATTTGGATAGTCAGTTTGTAGCTGCTCTTTATTACATTCAGAACCATTTCCACATGAACTGTTCACACTCATTCCCCCACCTGAGGTGGGAATGATGAACTAAACTAGGGGAGTTCATTCACTAGGTTTCTTATCAATCCACATAAGGTTATCAGCACAGTATTCTTTAGTAAAGCAGGATCTTTGCAAATCATCTCCTTAATACACTTCAAATACCTAAAGATACAAGTTTATCTCACTTCTTATGTATATTTAAAAACATTATGTAAAGGAACCCAGTTAGAGCTAATTATAATTAACACTGATTTTTGGTGTGTGTTTCCCTTTTCCTTAATCTTTCTTTAAGGCAAAGTTTTTCTGTGTTATTCAGGCTGTTGCTTTCACCTGTAATCTCTAATAAACTACTCTTCTGGAATTCCCATAGTCTCTCCTAGCTTCAGAGGAGCTGCCCCTTGTCTATGAACAATCTCCATGGAATGTGGAAGATTTAGGCCCCTTTCTCCGTTGCTGCCTCATGGATCAGAATTTCCCAGCATTTGTGGAAGAGGTGGAAAAGGAACTAAAAAAACTGACAGGGTTGAGAAATTAACTCTCTGTGTACATATAGAACTAAGGAACTTGAAAAGCATTGAAAAATGCTTTCTCCTGAAGATTAGAGAAGACACTAGAATAAAGAATATTGTTCCAAACACCTTTTATCAATGTTTTATTTTTAAAAACTGGTGAATCCACTTTTCTATACATCATTGCACATCAACAATTACACAAAACACGAGTACATGCATCTATGGTTACATACTGAGTAAGAACCCTGATGGGTGAGAAAGTCTACACTCAACCGTTAAATCAATGTGAAAAAAATACAGTATCAACCCCAAAGTATAACCACAGTTGCATAGAATACCATGCTAGAACATTTCAAGGTCACTGAAAACTAAAGGTAAATTATAAAAGTTTGCCTTAACTGAATGTACAATAAGATTTAACACATCAGTGCAAAAAGATTTAAAGAATTTACAAGATTCAACAAATGAAGAAATAATCACTTAAAAAGCAATCATACATATATACTGCAATTCATTATAGCCATTTAGTGGACTATTCCAGCTTCTTATTAGAGTCGTAGGTTAAGCCCTTAAAATTGTAGATTTCAGTTTATATTACTCATCTTTTGTACCAGAACTGCACAATTTCCTCATCTGACAACATACAATAGGGAATGAATATCAGCAGCTTAAAACTGAAATAAGCATTTATTTTGTATTTCTCCCACCCCCAAAAATATAAATATATATATATATATATTTATATACTGTTTTTATCTGTAGGTTTAGCTGTACTTTACAAAATGTATCACTAGATGGCAGCAGTGCATTTTAGAGCTTTGCCAATTTAACAGCTGCAATAAGTAAAAAATGGCGCATGCATGATCCAGTCCTCAGAGGACCTTTTCACTTCTATTTAAGTATCTTAATAAAGGAAGAGGAAGCAACATTCACAGCACATCAAGCCCCAAATAGTTTACACCTTCTACACTGAAGCATTGTTTGAAATGTACCTGCTAGGTCACCCTTATAAGAGAGGCTAAATAAGGCATGCTTTAGACAGTCGTGTGGTGTTGCTCACTTAAAGAGGAGAACCAAAGAGGTCCAAGCTGAAAATTTAGCAGGTCTTGTTGCCACCATTTCAGGAACCTGAAGATCTGTAAAGAAAGGGTATTTGGAAATTAAAAGTGAGTAGGCACTAGCACCTACAAACTGAGTGCTACATAAAACAAAGTTTTGTTTCAAACAGCTCAGGGAGGTGGTGTGAGATTCCGACCTCCATGTGCCTGAGCAGAAGGCACTGGGGCCAGCTGTCCTGGCTACTGGTCTTGCCTTGATCTCAGAAGTAGAAGGGAACTAACTGGCCAATGGAAATATCCCACCTAGCAAGGTGACAAATGAATCTTTACCTCTTTTAAAAGATGTAAGTAAACAGTAGCACAAAGTGTTATTTTGAAACATCATACATATTTTGAAATGGCATTTATATAAAAATGTGTAACAGTGCAGCTGAAAAATGGTCCTTTCCAGCTGCTACATACTGGGTTCCATCAGTATGAACTGCTCTGAAATGAATGAAAAGACCTTGCAGCATAACACCAAGTACTGAAGAATTTGTAACAAGGTCAAGAGAGCCACGTTCATTTTGACAAAATTTTTAAAACATCCACAAGAAGGCCATACTTACCTTATAAGTAGTACTTAATTTGTGTTTCTCTGGCGCAAGTTTTTATCTTTGTGATTGTTGGTAGAGTTGGTTTTCCTTTGAAGGAAAAATTATATTACAAGAGTTAAAGTCAGTAGCAACTTCTGAAAGTATAACACATGGAAATACAGAGACTCTTTTACTTAGTGCCATCCCTGGAGTAAAAGAAAGTTTACTGCACAATTATTAGTACATAAAAATATTCCCTGGGTAAAGTGCCTACATACCTTTAATTAACAGATCCTTTTGACTCCCAAAGCAAACAATATACAGGTAACTTCCCCTTCGATTTATAAACTATAATCTAATTACTATAAAGGTTAGAATAGAATTTTTTTCTCAACTGAGCACCAACCATTCTTATCTCAAATGATAAATGGACACTCAATTATACAGAGGCAGCCCTGTGTCTCTGGCACTTAAAAACTTTGGACACTGTTTGGTTTCAACACTAGGAAATTCTAATTCTGGACCGATCCAAATAGTTTATGGAAC